GCATTAACTTCTCGAGTTCTTTTGCACAGTAGAATTGTAATTGTAAATAGGCTGAACCATTAGTGTCATGCTCATAATTGTGCCTGAACTGCAACACTGCTATTTTGAGCAGAGTAAGTCTGATTCCCTGTAAAGACTTCTCTGTTGACATCCACCCCTTGGCACTCATATGACCTTATGTGGTTGTGAGCGCTGTAAAACTTCTACTAAAACAATCTAAGACGCCTACTAAAATACGGAGATGACATTAAAACTCTGTCTGCTTCTCCCTCCTCCATTTCCTCCTTTTCTCCCCCTTTTCTCCCTCCTCTCAACCAGGACCCCAACAAACGTTTCGGAGCCTCCCTCGGGGCCCTGTCCGGGGGCCGTGTTGGGATCACGGGCATGTGCTGCACCAACCTCAAGCTGAGCATGCCCATCGCGATCCGGTACTCAGCCGCCCGCCGCCAGTTTGGACCAGGGACCGAGGAAATCCCCGTCATTGAGTACCAGCTGCAGGTGTGTTTTTGTGTATGTGTATGTGTGTGTATGTGTGTGTGTGTGTGTGTGTGTATGTGTGTGCTTTTTTGTGTTTGTGTATGTATATGCGGCAGTTTGGACCAGGGACCGAGGAAATCCCCGTCATTGAGTATCAGTTGCAGGTGTGTGTTGTGTGTGCGTATGTGTGTGTTTATGTGTTGTGTTTGTGTATGTGTGTGTTTGTGTGTGTATGTGTTGGTTTGTTGTGTGTGTGTGTTTTGTGGTTTTTTTGTGTGTGTATGTGTATGCGGCAGGGACCGAGGAGATCCCAGTCATTGAGTACCAGTTGCAGGTGTGTGTGTATGTGTTTTTTGTGTGTGTGCGTGTATGTGTGTATTGTGTTTTGTGTGTGTTGTGTTGTGTGCATGTGTGTGTGTGTGTGTGTGTGTGTGTGTGTGTGCATGTTGTGTTTTTGTGTATATGTGTGTGTTGTGTTATAGAAGTGGGTGCTATAGGAATTATTATTTGACTTGAAAGGGTGGACTCTAATCCCATCTTCCGTTTTTTTGTTTAGTTTTTTTTGTAGTAAAAGTTTACAGCATTTACAACACAGTAAGGTCATATGGTCGCTTTTAAGGACAAGCGGGCTAACCCAGACTTCAGGGGTTTCCAGAAATCTTGACCTACACCAAAAGTGGGCATTGCCTTATCTGTAGGAGAAGTTTAGTTTCATTGGTGTATATATTTGTTTGGTTATAGAGAAAAATCTCCTTGACTTTTAAAGAAACTGAACAAGGGGCAGAAACTTTATCTTCGATTTTCTCAAAACAGCATTTTTTGGGATAGTCCCCTTGTGCTTAAAAGCGACCAAATAAGTGCTGAAGATTAGAGGTACTTCAAGAAAGTAACAACCACTAAAAAATGAGAGATAAGGATGATGAATTATGTTTGAAAGGAAAGAAGGAGCAAACCACACCGTAGCACCCGCCAACCGCCCACAATCCCACGTTCCCTCTTCTCCACAGCAATGGCGTCTGTTCCCCTACGTGGCAGCCATGTATGCCCTTGACCTTTTCTCAAACTCTTTCTTCATGGATTTTGTGTTGCTTCGCGTTGGAATGATGATGGGAGACTCTAGTCAAAATCAGGTGAGTCCAGTTGTGTGTGTGTGTGTGAGTGTGTTTGTATGTGTGTATGAGCGCAAATCCCTGTTCAACAGCAAAAAAAGCTCTATGGGCTTGACAATCTATACTATTACCCCAGCAGACCTGAGAGCATTCTGAAACAACCTCAACCTCCTGGGAAGCATACAGTGCAAGCCGCCATTTATAGGGGCTAAAACACTAATATGCTGACGAGATCTTTCGCTGTCTATGGCCGGGTACCCATTCCCACCTGGGTGAAGGGAGGGAAATTCGTGTAAAGTGCCTTTCCCAAGGACACAACGTTGGGCCCATAGCTTGAACCCCCGAACCGGCAACCTCACGATTCCAAGTCCGGTAGCCTAACCACTAGGCCACTGACGCTACTATCATCTCAGGGAAGGGCCTGAGTTATGGGCATTCCTTGAGGCTGAACCTCTACAAAATTCATCTCACCACATGACATTTACGTGGTTACGTTGTTCCCAGGCGGACCTTGGCAAGGAAATCCACGCCCTCTCCTGTGCCAGTAAACCGTTGGCCGGCTGGATGGCCCGCGACGGAATACAGGAGTGCCGGGAAGCCTGTGGTGGTCACGGATACTTCAAAGGTCAGTTGTGTTGAAGGGATTAGGGCTACTACTGCATAGGTCAGTTTGTTAACTCACTCACTTCCTACATTTCCTGTGTACCGGCTATTTCAACCTGTATTTTTAACCCTCTCCGTATATCGTGTTTTACTATCGTATCCATACAACACGGGTAACTCTGTGCCCGCACTTTCCAAAGAGGAAATTTACTCGTTAATTCGATCTGTACACTTTGCATAGCAGTCCGTCAAAATGATTTTTTGAGAAATACTGAAAGTTTCAAAGAAATCTTCGCACTAGAATTATTTTAAAATGTGAACAATACAACCCCGGGGGTACAAACTGACCCTAGGGCGTATGGATAGGGTTAATAGGTCAGTTGGTTAACTCACTGCTTACATCTCCTATGTACCAGCCGTTTCAATGTGTATTTTTAGATATTGCAATGACACAACAAGCTGATGTGGAGTCACAACTATAACTATGGTGATAATGCTGGATAAACACTTTGCGGTCACTTGGCGCACTGATGCGCCAGTGAATATTATCCATTCTGGTCACACTGCGCCAGGCCCGAGAAGTTCGTTTCAGTCAGTCTCGTGGCTGGGTGACCAGATGGGGTATTTGTACTGCTGGCTGTGTGACCAGATGGGGTATTTGTACTGCTGGCTGTGTGACCAGATGGGGTATTTGTACTACTGGCTGTGTGACTGCAAAGTGTTAAAAAAAAATTCTAAACTCAGAAATATTATTTTATTGATGGTCATAACTTGTGTTAAATAGAGGCATGATAAAAACAGTGTTTCACTTCACAGTTCTTCGTGCGTCTGTCCCAACTTATTATTTCCTCCCCTCCGTTGTTCCGGCAGTGAACCGTCTGGGCGAGATTCGCAACGACCATGACCCCAACAACACGTATGAGGGAGACAACAACGTGCTGCTGCAACAGACCAGTAACTTCCTCTTGTCCTATCTCAACGCCGCGCAGGCTGGTAAGTTTTCTCTTGTCTACCTCTGTGTGAGAGAGAGAGAGAGAGAGAGAGGGGG